CACGTAATAATTCAAGTAAAAATGGTATAGCTTGTTCAGCTATGGGTTTAATACTTGCAACATCAGGTCCTTCTAACATTGAACCAAATGCCATAACAGCTGCTTCACGATGTCTCCAATCAGTATGTTTTATATTTGTACTAACAAATGGAAATACATATTGAATTATAGCATTTTCAGCACAATTTGCTAATAACATAAGACAAACACCAGCTGATTTACATGGATTCCAATCATCATCATCATCTGTTTCTTCTTGCATAGTTAATCTTTGAAGTAAAACTGGTACTAAATATTGTAAAGCACCACGTGCATAATAACGACTTGTTCGTTCAGGTTGACGATTTTGTTCTTGTGCCTAACAAAAACAAAGACAACAAAGTAATTTTCTCAAAAAACAAAATATGATTTACTTCTTGTTGTAATAATTGTAATTCATATTCTTCATCACATACATTTGACCAAAATTCAATACCTTGTAAAGCTATTTCATCATGAGAAGATTTCATTGCATCCATTGTAATCTTAAACACAAATAAAATCATACAATATAACCGATGGATCATAAATGAGAGAAAAATTATTTTATTTTATCTATTGATATACAGTCTAACGTCTGTCATAGTATATAGCGTGGATATTATGAACACTTCCAGGGATATTTGAAAGTATCGTTTTGAAGCTGTGCTAAAAGTTTTTAGATGAAACTTATTTTTTCTCAACATGTATTGTCATTTGTTTTTTACTAATGAAAAGATGATATGGTCAAAAAGCCTAGTCGTTAAATAAACTATTAAAATATTCTACTTACAGCAAATAATGCTGGTCCCATATAATATTCCATATAATCATAATATAATGTAAGAATTTTGACAAGATTTTGTAAAGCTGCTACTTGAATTTTTAAATTTGCTGATTGTGTAGCTTCACAAACAACTTGCATTATATAATGTCTTTCACTCTATTGATGATAAAAAAAACAACAACATTTTATTTTAAAAACCTAAAAAAAAACAAAATCGTTTTTTTGCTCTTACATCATTTTGAAAATTATTTTTTGTAAATTCTAATGAATTTAATAAAGCTGTTATGGCAGCAAGTCGTACATTATCATTTGTTTCTTCTTTACGCATACCATATATAAGTGCAGTTAATATTAGATTACTTTGAGGTTCAAGAACATTCGAATCCTAGAGAAAATTTTTTTTTTTCTTTTCTTTAACAAAAAAATAAATAAAAACAAAAAAAAAACAGAATTTTCTCTTTTTTTTCGTATGAAGAAAAAAAAGAAAACAAAACACAAACAAAAAAAAAACACACGGATGAATGAATGAGCTTACAATATCTTGACATATGTAACCGAGTGCTTCCAAGCTCGCTTCCCGTACATTATCGGCTCTGCCCACTGTAGTAACATTGTCAACCAGGCGTTCTAAGATGGTACACACACATACAATCAACACTCGTCAACACGCTCATGAAAATTTTTATATAAGAATGTAAAATAAATAATATCAAACAACTTACTTATTAAATCTTGCCATTGACCACGTGGTAATTCAGCACAAGCTATATAACCAACACATTGTGCAGCTTGTGATGGTTTTGTTGTTTCAGTACCGAGAGCATTAAAACACTATATATATATAGAAAAATAATTAAAATTAAATAGATAATTATATATTTACATTTGTTTTTATATGATTTCTAATATTTTCTGGTATATTGAGCCATCGTTCTTGATAATGTTGTTTTAATGTATCTTCTCGTGAATACAGAGCATTTTTAAGTTGTAATGCTAGAAAAAATAAATAAATCAAAGAAAAGAAAATATTAGATTAGAATCTATATCTTGAAAGTGTTTTATATCAAACAGACTTTGCTCAACAACTTGCGGATTTTGTTCTTTTTTACCGAAATTAAATTATTTGATAGGTTACTCAACTCTTAATCGAAAGAAGACGTTTGAAAAGGTTTCTTCTTTAGTGTGCTTCAAAATACATCGTAAAATGCAGAGATGTAGAATCTTCCTTATGCGCCCCCGGGCGGGGGGGAAATTTTTTGAAAAACTCAAATAATAGGGAAATTTTGGAAAAACCCGCTGGCCAAAATAAAATACAGTGGGGAAATTTTTTAAAAAATTTTTTTGCGTGGGGGGAAATTTTTCGATTTTTGGAAGATTCTGCACCTCTGGTAAAATGTAATGTGACAAGTTGTATAAGTTACAACAAAAAATCTGTTTCTTTATTTGCATTGTTTATTTTTGAAATACAAAAAAAAATTATGGTATCGTTAGATGCATTCAAAAATGATCTTACATTCCTAATTAAATTTACACCTCATGAAAAATTATTACATAAAGATTGTCATTAGATTATTTTTTTCATATGCGTACTATGAAGGTAAACAACTCTTAATCGATAATTTTGTCTATCAACAGTATTTTATTGACATGGTATGAAAACAATCCTAGTCTCAATGTTTTGCGATTATTCTGTATTAGCACGATTTTTGTTATCTTGTCGGAAAACCAAATCATTTTAGATTTTTCAATTTCTCATCAAATGAACATCACTACGATCGAAAAATTGATCAGTTACTATGAATTATTCTTTAATTTTAAATCTAAATTTTCTTACCTGCTTGTGCACGTGCTGTTGGATTATTTGTGGCGGTAATTAAAATATCGGACAGTTGTTTTAAAAGTTCCGACTGAAAAAAAACAAACAAGCATCATTCTATAAAATTATTTTCTCCAAATATTCTCACGTACTAAATTTTGTTCAGCTGCTTTAGCAAGAAAATTTCGTGCATTCTCCAAATCAGCTTGTGCTAAATAGAAAAAGTTTCATAATTATTTTTGTTCAAAATTTTCTAATCGAACACCTACAGCCAGTAACCGTTCGTTCAAGAATATTGATGAGTCCTTCTGTGGCCATTGGACCCGTTTAAAGATAAACGAAAAAAAAAAAACAAAGAAATTAATCTAAAACAAAAATGAAACAAATGTTGTTCGATGTTTCATATTTTTATTCATATATTATTCTTTTTCTTTTATTATATAAAATCAAAAAAAAAAGAAAACATCAAACAATTTGTTTGGTTCTTTTTTTTCTTCTTCGGTGAAAATCTTCATCTAAGCTAGAAGAGCAGCAGCTGTTGATGATTCATATTTCCATGTTGGTGGTAAAACTTTTTTTGTTTTATAATATCTTGCTAAACGATGAATACGACTTTCAACAAGAATTAAACGAAATTTTGAATCTTTATCTTTACGATTACGTTCCAAATGTTTACGAATAGCAACAGCTTTTTTTATTAAATGATGTAAATCTTCTGGTTTACTTGGTGCAAGACCTTTTGCTTTCATTATACGTAATATTTTATTTCCTGTAACAAAACGTGTTTGAGCAACACCATGAGAATCACGAAGAATAACACCTTAAAAATAATTATTATTAAATATATATATTTTTAAATACGGAATGAACATACCAATTTGTGATGGTGTTAAACCTTTTTTAGCTAATTTGCATATTTGATCAACAACATCTTCGGATGTTAATTTCAGCCACTAAAAAAAACAAACACGACAAGAAAATTCAATTTATGTATAAATAATTCTTACCGATGGTACTGTTCGTTTGTAGGGTAATGCAGAATCTGAAATACCCTTGCTAAAAACAAAAAAAAAATAAAATGAATTTAAATAAAAAAAAATCGAATGAATGTTAAAAATTTACCCAGGAGCATGCATACGACCCATGATGACAGTTTTTTAGTCAAAGATCTAGAAAAGAAAACAAGATAGTGAAGGATTTAGTTTTAAACAAAAAAAATATGGCCACATGTAATTGATTGTTTAAATGAAAGAAGTAAATAAATAATATCCTCCTATCAAATTTATATTGACCTCCGACGATAATCGACAATGGATTGTATGAAAAATTTTAATGTTTTTTTTTTTCGCAATGAAATTTTGAAATATGGAAAGAAATTTTTTTTCTTTTTGATTTTTAATAAATAATTCTTTCTTTTAAAGTAATTCAATATCAATTTTTATTGGACAAAAAGACACCGAATCGGTTTAGATTGATAATTCATGGAACTATATGAAATATTTCATAACTGGTATCATCCATATGATAAATAATTTCAAATTTTTCTGAACAAATGTCTTCTTTCACGTCTCTCTCATTCTTTTCATGTAGAATTCATCAATCTCAAATTACAAGAATGACTTAAATAGTACTTTAATATGGTTTATAATTGATTACGACCTACTTCAATGAAAAATGTAACTCATTCAATACCATCGGGCAACATTACAAATAAATTGCTTGATAAAATGCACAATAAAGCACTTAAGTCATAGTTGTAATTAATAGGCGATGAAGATCAAAGAAGTTCTAATAACGGAAGAGAGGTGAAGATCTCTCTGATTCTGAATCTACATAAATCTTGAATAACGAACCTCTATAGAATGAAGTCGTTTCATGATTAGTTTAAACCAAATTGAAAAAGTCTCAACTCAAGTCGTGGCAAAGTTTATTGTGACTTTCTCTTTTGCACTATCGACGACGGCGCACGCTAAAAATGTTATACATTTTTTCCGTCTTCGGTTACGATAGCCCATCCAATCACTACTTACCTTTCGTATGACATTGTTCTCTTTCGTTGGAAGAAGGTAGATATTGTTATATGAAATATTTGTTCATCTTTGACCTTCATACATACGTTGTTTTTTGAAATTAGTGTCCTTCGTATTGGAAAAGAAAAAACAAACATCGATTTTGATTTTCAAAGGAGATAGAGAAAAATCTCAAGTCCCATATATATGTCATTTAACGTTGACAATTCAATTCGATACTCTATTTTAGTATATAAAAAAGAGATAAAAAAATAGTGTATAGAATTCACTCGTTCGATCAAAAGAATAGACGAAAGAAATTACAGAATAAATAAAATATATCAATAAGTGAAATATTCGAAATAAAATGTTAATTGAAATATGTTTGTTTTTGTAAACGTTCTAAAGCATTAATCAATTGTAAAAATTGATCACGAGAAAGATTTTGTTTTTGTTGTTGAAATTTTTCTTCAAATCTTATTCTTATACGTTCATATTCATTTATCCATGGATATGCTAATATTGCTTGTGCATATAATAATAATTCATTTCCATTTCGAAATTGATAAAATTCATATAATTCAGGTAGAATATGATTTTTTATAAACCATTGTTTAACTTCTTGATCATTCCATTGTTTAATATCTAATGAATTTCTTACTAAAGATATATTTATATAAAGATGTTCATTGATCATTGATAATAATTCTTCACAAGTATTCATAAAATCTAATTTACCAAAACGAATACATTTTAATCGAGCTATTCGTTTATGTAGCCAATCAGTTGGTTTAAAATTTTGATCAATAAATATTGGAAAAAAAAGTTTTTTCAATATATCTGTAACATAAATTAATTCTTGACGACATGATTTATCATAGAAAAAATCTTTTGATAAAAGAAAAAGAATAAGATCTGATTGTTCAATAGTTTGTATTATTTCTTTCCATAAATATTTACCAGTATTAATATCAACATTAATTGATAATTGAGGTATTGTATTTAATATATCATATAATTGTCGACAAAAATCAATATTTACATGAGAATAACTAATCATAAGTGAACATATTATTTTTTTATTATTAGTAAATTTATTTTCTTCTAATTTTATTGGTAATAAAGGATATAAATTTTGCCAAATTCCATCAATTGTTCTTCTTAATGATGACATTTGATAAGGTATATAAATATATGGTAAAACATTATTAATTATATTCATTTCACGAAATATTTCAAGATCTTTAAGTAAATTAATATTTTGAATTAATTCATTTTTATATCGTTCATGAAATGATATACTCCAAATAATATTTGCTAATGCCATAATTGATAGAACATATGAATCAAGATCATCATCATCGAATTTTTTATTTTCGATTTCAAATAAAAATATTTTTAACGTTGTTAAAAAATATGTTTGATATTGATTTTGTTGAAGAATATAATCAATGATATTATCATTCGTACATAATTTCATTAAAATAATCAATAGTTCTGATATATGACATCCTTTATATTGAAATTTAGTAGATTTTGAGATAATTTTAGTTGTTGATAATACTTGATTGATTGTACCATTATTGAATTCTTCAGCATAAAGTTCATCTGGATCGATGACTAAAATAAGAATTAAATCTAAGAGTAGAGAAACTATTGAACGCATGTCTTTATTAATAATAAAATCAATATTTATATTTAATATTTCATTTTTGAATTGACGTACAATTTTTGTACAATCAGATTTATGAAGAAAAATTGCTCCGTTATCATGACGTGCAATATTATATAAAATATTGATAATATATTTATATTCATAACCATTTAAATATGATAATGATAACCATTGTAAACATATTTGTGGATAATTGAGATTAATAAATATTGGTATTGTTAATGTTTTATCAGTTATATTCCCAATAAAATATAATATTTCTTTAATTAATGTATCATTTTGTTTTTCATTTACTCTTAAATGTTCTTTTCTAATGAAATATTCATTAATAAAATTAATAAATAGAGTTAAAAGAGTACTTTGATATTTTTCTAAATCATTATCTGTGATTTTTACTCCTAAATCATTTAAAACTTTTAAAACTGCATATAATATAAAACTACAAGAATTGATTAATATTTGATCAGTATCTTTATCATTTGACATAGTATTTTGAAGATATGAATTAAGTCGTGTTGATGAATTAAGTTGATTTAATAAAGAGAAAAATATTTTTCGTCGAGTTTTCATTGTCGTTTGTTCAATTAACTTCTTTAAATCATAATGACTTTTAATATGAAAAAATGTTCGAAATAAATTATTATTTTCTTTTGAAACATGATGTTGAATCACTTCAATAAATTGATCAATATCAAGTAATTTAATATAATGATTTAAGATTATATTGAAAATATTAAAAGCACATGAGGCAGTATAACTATTTTGAGTGATTAAATTATCACAAATATCATTCAATTTGAGGAAAATTGCCGAAATTGAATCGATTTTACTAGAATTGTTTATATTCGAAAACAATTCATCAAATAATTCTTTGACTTGTTCAACGAGTTCATTATTTATTCCTTTATTGTCGTCAACTAGTATAGAAATAAAAAACAAAATAATTTACTCACGACGGAATTATTTGAATTGTCACTCGTCGTTTGAGTTCATAAGGATTATGATATGGTTTTGGCAAGTGACAGTTTGTTCGAAATTCAGTATCTCGATAAATTCTTTTCAACTGAAGTTTTCTGGATATTCTGGAGAACCAGTGAGTAAAACAACGGAACCTCGCTAATGAAAACACAAAGGCTTCTCAAGATTGAGTGAGTGTTTGCCCTCATAGTGAACACTTGGTGAAACAATGACAGTGATATTTTTCTTGATTCGAATAGTGTCCAATACACTTTAGCTAATGACTGAGTTTTCGATTTAAAAAATTATTTCAACTCTTTCAAGGTTTCGAGAAATCATAGAGCTCCTGTTCTATTGTTCTATATGAAAAACCCGGTTCTAACAGTTTTTCGAATGGAAAAGTATGCATGTTCATTGAAATCTACTCACATGTTCAATATAAATTAGTTCTCACCTGAAGAATTCGTTTGTTCAACTGTTCTTTTGATAGCTAGTTTTGATATTGTTGAATAACTTGCCATTGTTTAATGTGATGAAAGTATACGGTTAGTATTTTGACGTTTATTAGTAATGAAAAGAAAGTATGAGATAAGAAAAACATTTCTTTATACGTGTGAAGTCACCTTTTATCTAGATAAATAGAACGATATTGTTCTACGTTGTCATACTATGAAAATGAAGGTTTATTAGCAAAAATAAACTTTATTTAAATATTCTATTGTACTACAAGTAAAAATTGGATTGTGTGAAAAAGTTCAATTTAAATTCATGTTGAATTGTATAATCAAATATGACTATGGATATTTTCACTTGACAAAAACAACATTTCACCATTTTATCTAGAACTTTTTTTTTCATGGATTCATTATCATGTCGGAATATCGTCTCCTTTATATATAATCATTCATGTGCGAATCAATCCTATATGAAATTTTGCAAAAAATGACATCAAACCATAAAAATATCCTATTTGATGTCATAATGTAATGAATGATCACTACTTCAATTTAAATGGAATACATATATCTAATGTTTTGATAATAACAAATATTATTTTCTATCGTCTTAAATTTTGACTATTAAAATATGTGCTTTTCATCGTGATTTACTAATATATGATGTAAAATGGTCAAATTAAACTTTTTCCTATTATGCCATTTTGGCTTTGTGACATTAATTACGACTATCGTAGATTCTTGTTATTGAGAATTTTTCTTCAATAGGTCATTGAGAGGAACAGTGACTGTATGTTTGATATCAGCAGTGTATCTTAAAAATCAGTGCCAGTACAGTGAAAATGAAGGGCACATCTGAGTTTTTCTGCAGTTGAAAATACATAAGCACCCTCGTCTACACTTACAGCGAGCCGCCATACTTCATTCCATCATAATATTCAGAAAGAGCACCGCATGGGAGTGCTTTTCTTAGACTTCAACTAGTTCCATCATATACTGTTGATTGTCCTAGAAAATCGAACACTCAAATAAGACCGTTTATATTATTGAACATTTCAATATTCTGACTCATTGATCGTTCAATGGCATTCTATGATTATTTTGCATGTCCATGTTTTCAATAAAAATGGTCTAGTTCGTCAATCGCTTGATAAACTTCGATAAAATTTTTATCAGAAATAGTTCTGATTCAGAGCTAAAAGATGAGAGATAGAACGACTCAAAAGATTCATCTATTCTCAGGTTACGAGATTCACAGTGATCGTGCATACTACGTATTGTAATTCCGTTTTAGCTTAAGCTATTCTGGTGCCGAACTTACCGCTGATTTACATTATCTATGCACTACCAGCACAAGAATTTTCAGGTATTTAGCTCTCATAGAGACTAAGATGCGAGAAGGTAGGACTACTTTTAACCAATTGGGTTTGTGTGGAACGAAATGAACATAGAGAGAATTTTAACTTAGAAAAGAAAATTTCATCAACATTGTACAAAGTAGCATAACTTAGTTCTATTTACTTTGATAAAAGATGACGTTACTAGTAAGAAGAACATTCGAGAATAAATACGTCTTCTTATCTGTCATTTTTATTACTATTAACATCAGTAGAAATATGAATTTTACATTTTTATCATCGTCAAGCCAGTTTTAAACATGATGAGTTATTCGATTGAACAAAAACCTAGTACAAGTAAGTTACAAATTAGTGAATATATAATCAGTTATTTTTTCTAGTTTAAATACATATAATGTCATTGATATTCTTTTTCTTTTCTATTAGATATTGAGACTAATGAAAAAATAGTAAATGAAACTATCCAACAAATTTATCAATTATTCGAACAATTAAGACAATCATTAATAAATTTTGGAAATACTAATAAAATATGTTCACCTGATTTCGTTTTAAATGATCTCAATCAGATCTTTTGTCGATTAGTCGATCGAAAACTTTATAGTTCTATGGATGTTGTCAATATGTTTGAAATAATCTTAAAAAATTATCTCGATTTCATTGATACTAATCAATTTATTGATATTATTGCTGATCGTTATGCATGTAAAAATAGTATTGTGTTTGGTTCATTTTTTGAATCATTCGCTCAAGAGGATACATTAGATGCAGTTCGTAAAATATCATTCAAAGCTCGTCAGCAAAAATATTATCGTATACTAGATCAACTAAGTTCATCAAAAAGAATTAGTACTTTTCTTAAAAATGAACTGTCATTGTCATCAAATAATAATAATAATGTTATACAAATAGTTGCTAATTTTTGTGGATTAATATTAATTATGGTTTTGAGAATTTTGAGTGGTTTGAACGTGAAATTATTAGATATAGAATTAAGAAAATATCAAAATACTCTTTTTATTCCATTTATAACATTTATTGACACACATTTTGTATCTAATCAATGTTCACAAAATAATATTCTGATTAAAGACATCTTAGAATTTCTTCATAAGACAAGTGATCAAACACTAACAATTCCAATATTTATCAATGCTAATTGTCCACAAGTATGTTTACGTTGGTTATCACTTCCATATTTGAATGCTTATGAATATGCTTATATTCTACGTATTATATATAATATTGCACGTCATGATGAAGGAGTAATTATTCTCAATAAATATCAATGTCATAATATCCTAATGCAATTTAATACAGACATATTGAATAAACAGATTGATTTTATTATTGATAAAAAATGGTGTGAAGATCTTCAATTAATCTATTTTATGATAATAATTTTAATTGTTGATTCAAATGAACTTGTAACTGAAAGTACTAATTGGTTTATAACATATCGTTTATCGCCAGCAATTTTTAATGGTATACTATTACGTACATATCGACATCAAAAATTTCATATATCAGAGTTAATGATTATTCTAGTGAGATTATGTACAAATGATAATTTTATTCATTGTATTTTTCATAAAAATTATTGTACATTTCCACAATATGTATTTAATGTATTAAACTTTTTATTACATTGTGTTGAAATCGAAAGATTTGATTATAGTCTTCTCTCTTTGGATGTTTTGACAGTGATTGCTCTAGCAAATATTTTATGGAGTATTTCATTTCATGATCAATATAAAAATATTTTAATTGAAAATATTCTAATTATAAATAGACTTGCAGCATTTGAATCAAGTGATATAATTGAAAAAATATTACCTAATATGTATATACCTCGGCATATGTCATCATTAAAAAGAGCAATTGATGGTATTTGGGAAAATGTATATCCTTCATCATCTACTGATGTAGAAATCGATTCTTCAACGAAAACAAAATCTTTTTGTTCACTAATGATTAGTTATTCTCATATGGACATTGATTTTTGTCGACAATTATATAATGTATTCAGTATACTTCCTGAATTATCAGTATCTGTTGATTTCAATAATTCAAAATATTTATGGAAAGACATAGCACAAACGATTGAACAATCAGATCTTGTTCTTTTTTTAATATCAAACAATTTTTTCAATAGTAAATCATGTCGTCAAGAATTAATATATGTTACAGATAGATTGAAAAAACCATTTATTTCAGTCTTTATCAATGGTGATTATCAAGTAACAGGATGGCTTAAGAATCGAATAAGTGAATCAAAACAGATTCGTTTTGAAGAAAGAGATTTTATAGATACTTGCAAAGAATTATTATTATTGATCAAGCAAAGTCTTTCTATGAGTATGACTTTAGTGAAAAATACATCGAACACCAAGCAATGGAATGCAAAAGAAGTTAAACAATGGTTTAATAATAATAATCTTATGTCTGAATTGCATGATTTTTATCAATTTCAGAATGGTTATGAACTATTGTTGTATGCTCAAGCAATACTGGCATTTTCATGGACAAAAGAATATGAAAGAATAAAAATCAGATTTGAAGAAAAATTCAAAGAACAACAACAATATCTTTCTCCACATGAATTTTTAAAATTTATTAATGCTTTAACACATTTGAAGAGCAAAAATCTTCACTCAATTTAAATTTTATCATGTCTTCTTTTTCCAAAAACTAAACTCACCTATATTCATATTTTTTATTGATTTGATTGTAGAATAATAGTTTTTATGATTTGTCTATTGTTCAGTTCACTCATTACTCTTGTCCTTACTTAATAAGCTTCGCTTTAATTAGAATTTTCAATAAACAATTTCCCATAAGTTTGATTAAAATACAAATGAAAATGTTTTTATTAATGTATCATTCAAACATTAAAGTCATATCCATTTGACTTAAAAAATCGAAGGTATACTGAATTATGATATCAGATGTGTGTATAAAGATATGAATCAAGATTTTTCAGACAATTAGATGAATAGAATCTCAATTCGTTTCTCAGAGATGTAATCTGGTCGTTCTTATTTAAGATGAATTGCATCATATAGAAACATCTAAAATAATAACTTAATCATCGTGTGAATATATACCATAGCGAAATATTTGAAAAATGAAAACTACAAAAAACTCATACAGATGAAAGTCCTTTTAACGCATTAAAGTCGTCTAAATCATGGTATTGTCGAAACGTATGTAGCTTAAAATAAATCAGAAGTTCGATAAACATGATACAAACAGAAGCGCATCATATTAAATTTCAAAAAATCTATATATATATAACATTCAGTGTGTGTGTTTCTCTGTGCCGGGTCAAAGGTTAAAGGTAAAAAAAAGGGTGTGGGTGTTGGTGTGGGCTAAGAGCACGAAACCCACACCCTGTAATGTATATCTTTTTCCGACCTAATGGTCTGTTTGAAGTGTTTAATAAACTTTACTCACAATTGATAAAGCTGATATTTTTTTGTAAGGATTGGAGACTGTGATACATATTGGCTGAAAATTCCAGCTGGATCAGTTGTTCCGGTGGGACAATAAGTTTTTAACAGGGAAGGGTTTAAAAGCAATAAATTATCGTGTTACACTACTCAACGAACGTAGATTATCAATACTATTTTTTCAGGGACTATGTTAGGCAATAACAGTTGTAGCTCTACCAACATTTAAAATGCTTGAGTAGGGAATAATACTGTCTGATCCGAAACATGTTACGTTGATTTCACAGCGAACAAGAGGCATCTGATTGAACCGATTTAATACAAATATTCTCAGAAAACCATTTAGAGTGACAGATCAATTACGATACGAATTGAGCGATACCCTCTCATCATTTACACTATTCACTACGATTGTCTGTTGGTATGAGAAAACTGTGCGGCTTTTTCATGTTATTGTGATGATAAAGGATGCTATTCTGATATACAGATTTATTTGCAGCGTTAAAATCTCTTTGGCGGACATTAGTTGATTAAAAAAACAGCATGTGAAACTGGAAGATTCGAATGTCAATGAATCTTCAAAAGTATTAAACAGATTTATTTTGGCGCGAAATACTACAATTACAAAACTACTCTTTTTTTAGTTGTTGAGTTTGACTGCTCAGTACTGTTCCTACGAAGATCCTGATCAAGATTGCCATTGACTCCACATTATATTGTATATTTTAACTGCGAATGATGGCGAATTTTTGCACTCGATGATTTTCGCCATCGACGACAAAAAGATTTCCGTTTTGATCGAATGACAAACCAGTAGGACAATTCATTTGATCTGGTTCTGATCCTTTGCCCTTACCACCTGCAACAACATTTCCTTCTGTTGCTCCTGGGATTGTTTAGTTGCATAAGCTAGCTTTTCAATACCTCCAGTTAATTTAAACCTTTTAAAATGATGAGAAAAACTGAGACAGAGAAATTAAATAGATACGTACCATAACATGGAAAATCCATAAAATGTACCATCAGCATAACTTGTTAAAGATGTTTCTATAATGAAATAGAATTCTTCAAATCGACAACTTCTTTGACAGTACAGTTTCTAGTATCTCTCAGAATTTTATTTGGAATAACAGAAAACAGATTTGTCAAGAAAAGTAGTGAGTAAACAGTGAAAACCAATTATTACGAAAAGGCTTTACTTTATTTTATTTTATTTTTCTTCATACTAATGTTTATCTTGTATATGCTGTGGAAACTTTTTTTTCGTGCACTCTGCTTCGACTAAATATATAAGTTGAATCTATTTACCTATATCCAGATTCACTAAAATGGCTTATGAATAGGACATTGTCAATAAGTGTTTGAATCAATTAATTGAGTATTGTTTTTTCAAAGAAATAGCGTATCGAAAATGAAGCGTAAATTATATTCTAGATACATGTAGATTAAAGCATAATCGTCATTTCACAATGAAAGAATTTTTTCTATTAGTGATTAAGGGCATCTCATTAACCCCATTGCTAGGTCGAAAAAGTGAGATTTTTTGGTTTTCCATGCAGTCGATTAAAGAAGAAGTCTAATAGAAAATCATGTCCTATGCTTAAGAGTTTTTGTATAGCAAATGCTCTTTACAATACATGCTTTATTACCGTTTACGCGCGCTAACAATCAACTTTTTTCGACAAAATTAGCGCTGAATTGCCTTACAATTGAAACATTTTTACAAGTATTCAACACTGCTTAGGATATCTACTCTGTTTTGGTTGATTTTATAAAATAAGCTCTGGGAAAAAAGCGTAGTTTTACGATGGTTACAATTTTGTGGTATTTTTGAATTTAAGCATAGAAAAAAAATAAACACCACGACATAGAAAGAAACACTGCTAGAACTTGCGTCTAGCACAACTTTCATATTACTAATAGAGATCTAGTTATCCTTGGAATTACAGAATTTTCTATTGAGCGGTTCTCGAGAAACTTTGAAAAAATCGAGTGCCTTTATAATTTCAAAATCTGCTCGAATATTCTAATATTGAGCGTTTCTTTTGACTTTCCATGTAACCATGAAACGCATTTTAGACACAGCTAGACGCGTTTCTGTTGCAAATCTTCGGCGTTCGAACGCGTTTTTATATGGAAGCATGATGGAAATGCATCTAAATACACCAATCACTGTATTTCACGAACCCGTCTAGACAAAATTCATAGTTCGAAGCATATTTTTAGACTAAACGTATACAAACGTATTTAACCTTTTATTATGAAACGCGTTGGGACGCACTCATATCATTCTATGCCTCTGATCACGTTTAATAGTGGAAAGAAGCTATGTCTCTTCTACTAACGCTGTTTAATTGACAGAGTCGATAAAGCGCGTTTCACAGGATGCTTCTGCCAATCTGTCGAATTTGCGGAAATGCGTTTGGACGCATTGCTTTCTGGAACGCAGTTGAACATATAGTTATATAGTTTAGTTAGTGAGGATAAATACTTTAAAACGGAAGTTGCATCTGTGCGAAAATGCGTCCACGAGTTCGGCGTGCTACATCTTTGTTGCAATGACATTGTGATTGGAGAAAATTATATTATGTAATTATATTAAGTTTACAAGGTAGTAGCTGAAAGAAAAAAATTGACTTTTCTAATCCATTTGGATGAACATATCAGCTTTCTATTAACTCATTTAAATAAGGATAAGAAGCTGAAGCATATTTCTATAAATGGCTCTTTACGATACATATTTTAAGTAGGATAATTTTCCACAAATATCTCTTTAAGTTTTCAATTGATAATGATTATCTTGTTTTCGTTATTTCTGTGTGCAGCGATTCAGAATCATACAAACTGATCTATGTTTACAATAAGGACCTGATTAGTAGATGCTATATGAAAACCTATCTATTTTTATTGAAATTAGAATAACTCAAGGATATTCTTTTCATCGCCCATGTATTTATTCATGCTTAAACTCCTAAAGCATTTCTGAATATCTACAAGCTATGCAGCTTGACGCGTTTGAACGCGTCCAACATGCAACATTTTAAGGCATGTGAACACGTTCGAAAACCAAAACGCGTGTAAACTCGTTCCTGTTGAAAACGCATTAATATACTTTTTCTGACTTTTCTACTTATGATACTTTTATGAGATAAACGTGTTTACTTTATTCTCAAAAACGTCAAAAAATAATCATCTCTTTGTGTCTGAACCAAACTGGAGTATAGCATTCAGACTGCATCACTATCATTAAAATACAATTAAATTGGGTTTGATTTAACAGATTAATCATACAAATCAGTACACCCATGATAATAGATTGTTATCTGCAGATCTTTTATTGAAAATGTTTAATTTTTATCGAAATTATATTTCTCGCTCTACATTACTTCTAAATACTTAAGAATGGGTAGACGGTAGATTATAATCTTAAGGTTGTTGCCCACTGCATGATCAATTCTTTCCTAGAGAAACAAATCAATCCTTTGAATATGATACTTTTATTTCCAACTCTTTCAGTTTATCGGAATTTCACAAGTGCTTTTTCAAATAGAGCTGTTGGCTTATCTTTATTGTGCTCTATAATAAAATGACTCAAAATGAAACTTTTAGATTCATGCAATAAAGATACATACATTACGGAATTTTATTACTTACTAACATAACGATGAACAATTTTTTAAAATTTATGCTTTTAAGAAAAAGATAAATGAATATTTTATTCATAAGAATAAAGAAAGTTAAATGAAAATGACGGTTTATTTTTAAATAAGAACCTAATATTTTATTTTCCCCCAGATACCTAAAAAAATTTTGATATCATAATCACAAAAAATTATGTAGACAAGAATATTTGCATATATTTTTTCTTCTAGTGTCTTCACGTTTTATTAATATTGGATATTGAGGTACTATTAGTGTGAAAAAAATGTAAATTAATGCCTTTATACCACATATTTATATATTTATTCATTACAGAGCGAGATCTTTTTATTCTGTAATTTTTATTTTTTTAATATAAAAAGTTTATTTCTTTATTTCAATCTTTTTCTAAATATCAAGAATATATTTATATTGATTGTTTTCGATAGATACATTATTTATATTTATTTCACGAAGTAAAAATATAACAGCTCTATTCGCAAATTTGTAACAATTATGTTCGGTTTGTAATCGATTGGTCGTGTATTCAAATCTTCGTTCAAGCTGTGATTCGAAAAATGACCACTTTATTGCTCACAGGATTTGCGTATTATATCATAGATCGCTATGGTGCATCGGTTCGATTCTGACACAGAGTGATGGTTATTTTTTAATTTTCTTGGGGACGAAAAATGAACGCGTCACACCGCGTTCATCTCCTACTGCATCCAAATGCAGCAAACTCCGAAAACGTGTCGTAATCCGTCTGCAAAATAGACGAGTTTGCAGGCGTTTTGGTTTACAAATGCGTTCACACGCCTGAAATTGTTGCATTTTTGACGCGTTCTTTGACATAAACGAATTGTGATACTGTTCGCATTGGAACGAGGGAAGACGCGTTCAGAGACCCAAAAATGTTGCATTCTCGATTCGTTTTAACGCATCAAGTTGAATAAGTCATAGACGCTCAAGGATACGTTCAAGATCGAAAAACGGTTACCTGAGTTTGGTGCAGAACTTTTGATAAAATTTTTATTGCATTTTTCTTCAACAGATTTCAAAATGCGTTTTGAAATGAAAAACGTTTGAAAACAACGCGAAGACTGATATAAATGAGACTGTTCAAATTGAAACCTATTCTGAATCAAGTGAAAATTAATTTCAGCTTCAAAACTCGCATATGAACTTATATCAACCGATAGAATGATCCTATTTACAAGGACTCTCTTATTTCGGTAGTGATTTCCAAGCATTTTATAAATAGTATCTACGATTTATCTTGAGTTTCTACTGTCAAAATTTTACTCACAATACATATTGGACAAAGAAATGCTTGATCACGATATTTAGAGATAACGATTCTGCAGATTTTAAAGGTTCTTTAAAACATTAAAAACAGATTCCCATATGCTAAACGATTTTTGACAATAATTTTAGCATTTCTATATTTGAACACTTGACATATGAACAGCATTCTATTAGGAATAAGTGTTTGAGAAAAGCTTTTAACATAAGATTTTCATACCAAATATAGACAAAAATAGCAAAGAGAAATGAGCTTTCTGTTCAGAGTGTGGATGTGGGTGTTAACATTCGAGTCTTCTCTTCACGCAAATACATCTCAAGCTATATACTGTTGGTGCAATCGTTTCGATGTGTTTTATTTATTAACAGTAACTAGAATGATGATTTCTAGCTATTTGCAGATATTTATATAACTCATCAGCATCGATTATCCATTATTTTTCATCAACAGCACAACAGAAATCTTACCGTTTAACGAGTTTGGATTCTTCCAAAGTTCAACGGCAATTATGATTGCAGTCTTTGTTATTGCTGCCAGTTCAGGATTTGTTAAAGTCACATATTGTGACAACCGTTTCTGCAATCGTTGGTACATAGTTCTTTCCCGAAGACCAAACAGTCCCCGTCGACGGAATCGTGATCCATCGCCTGGTTCAACATTTCCATACTTACTATCATCACCGGCGAATTCTGCATCACTTCCTATTGCTTCATCATTTTGAAAATTGTCCGTCATAGTAGCTGCTATAGCTAAAAATGCTGCCTTTGCTGGACAATTAAAGCAAATACCGGATTCAAAAAGTCCTCCCTGGAGAATATTGTGAATGAAACTTCCACGCATTGTATTGAATATAGGAATTAAATTGCTTTCCATCAAACATGACAGTAATATTGTATGCAAGCTCTCCAAAATACAGCAACGTTTCTGTTCACACGAAGTATCAACTACTAGAGTTCCTTGGCAGTCATCAACCGATGAACATTTACCGATAATGGATTGGTTAAATTTTCCATGACACGGTTGACCATTAATATCATAAGAGAACATAATGACGAAAACAAAAAGCAATGTCTGCATGTTTCAAGCCTCAATCACTGTATGTTTATTTCATACTTATGTAGATCGATGATATTTAATTATCTTTGGTAGACAAGACAAATTTATGACATGAAAACATTTTTTTTTCGTGGTCAATCATAAATTATATACGCTGCAATAAATCCTGGCAAACAAGAATGACACTGTTTTATGTGAAGGCGTAAGAATGAATCGCGCCCTTCTTATGATAAAAACAATATAATCGTATCTAGTTTACAGCACAGCCATTAATTGTTGAATTTACCAGCATGTTACCTATAAGCTTTACCTCAACAAAAGACGTCAATGTTTTTTTTTCTCACTAGTATATGGCATATTCACATCAGTGTTGCAACTGATAACAGTAAATGGCCGGTCCGATCTAGGATTCCTTACCGGCCGGTATATCGACCGGTTGAGACAACTTTTCTGGACCTGTCGGTTTAGATCTTTTTCGATTTTTCCATCTTTTTTTTCAAAATATTGATCAAAGAGGTGTTTATTTTTGGATACCGAACTAGTTTTATAGTATCAATGACTATTTCTATCCAGAAGCGTGAATCAGCGTATTTTCATTGAGTTAATATTCATCAAAAAATGATCCTAATATATTTTATAAAATCACTTCGACATCAAGTTATATCATCGAATCAAAATGGAATCACTCTTTATGATTGTAATTTGTTACATAACTATCACGAATAAAATTAACGCAACACGTATTTTTGATAGATATTTTCATTAATGGTCAACCACGAAAAATACCAGTTTTTCAGAAATTTTTTTCGTCTATCGAATTTTGTAGAGCTTGTTTCGCTGGTCATTTTGGTAAAAAAAATATTCAAATTTACTCAATAAATAATAGTATTAGAGTCAAAATACTCAAAACTTCGCACTGTTCGTGACCACTGCTGAGTAGTAGGTGATATTTTTGAGTTCCCTGAGCCAAGGTTCGTTATTTATTGAGTAAATTTGAATATTTTTTACCAAAATGATAGCGAAACGAGTTCTATAAAGTTTTATAGGCGAGAAATATTTCTGAAAAACTTATATTTTTCGTGGTCGACCGTTAATGAAAATACCTATCAAAAATACGTGTTGTGTTAATTTTGCCCGTGATAGTAAGGGTGTGGGTGGATGTGGGTGCGGGTGTTTGTGTGGGTTGGGTGGAGGTAGGGTGTGGGTGTGAATGTGTATGGATAGATATTAACCACACCCACACCCTTTTAATGCCAAACATACCCTATGGCGATGTAGGACGAATAATACTAACGAAGTTGAAATACAACAGCGGCGTGAAACAACATCTTTTGAAGGTATTTTTCCTCAAACAGCTACTTTCAAAAGATCCGATGCGATTATTGATTTTGCTATAAAACATTCCTCTACCGGGTGGTCTACCGAAGTTGTTAACATAGGTACCTCCGATCATTTTTCTATTTTATTCTCATCTCCATTTGTAACTGAAAAAACCTTTGTCTATCACAAAACCAATTGGAATATCTCTACTTTTTTTCTATCATGTGTCTTTCAATAATGGAATGCATGTGTGTATAATATTGACGAGCAAGACTTCTGCATTGTCTTCTCAAATTTTCTTAAAGCACTATGGGATAGAACCAGTACATACGAGATGTTTGCGAAATATCGACCTCCTTGACCTCCATACTTAGTTGCATTAGCTAGGCAAGTCAATAATATGAGACGGAAATACCGTAGAACACGTTTTCTTACATATCTATATGAATATAAGCAATTAAAATATCAATATCACCATGTTAGATTATTGCATGAACAAGAAAAACGTGAAAAACAATTTACAAATTTATCTGATAATCAAAATATATGGAAGATAGTAAAGCCGACATTTGGGTGTGGGTGGGTGAGTATGGGTGTATGTGAGGGTAGTGGCATTCTCTTCATTCACACCCACACCTCACACTCACACACACCCACACACCCACACACCCATACCCATCCCACATCCACACCCTCACTGGACATAATCGAAACACTGATTATACCAGTGCAGGGTCGATTTTAATTGATTATGGTAGATTTTAATCGCTTCACAATTGATTCTTAATCGATTCCTTATCGATTATTAATCGATTAAGAGCGTATGATTTTAATCGATTTTTAATCAATATTTATTTAATCAATTATAATCTGATTTTTCTCGTATTTTTATACATGGGTTATGCTTAAACTTATCACTATCATAACAAGATATCTGCCATATATCAAGAGAATGGTATAATTTAACAAATTAAGATAATAGTAATATTCGAACGTTTTTTTTTTTCTATTTTTCCCACTATAGTAACAAACACGCCGGACGAATTTCATTAAAATAAGTTTTTTTTTCTTTTTCGTTCTGTCCTGCGTTTTATACTACTCTCGATCGCAAACTAAGAAAAGAAAACTATTGGTTGATGATATGAAGAAATCCTTCTTTTCTTTATTGACGTTCCCTTATTCATTTTTTTAAAAATTGTTCGTGTCTGTCTTTTCGATTGTTTTCGTTGGCAGTGCTGCACACATAGAATGATGTTGTTCTCTTGCAATAAAAATATATTATTACAATGGATTATAAAAAGACATCTACACGCAATTGATGTGGACACATTTTTTTCCTTGTTTAATTTTGAGAAGCTTTAGTTATGAAAGACGCTGCATTTTTTTAAACTTTATCTTGAAACAAAAAAACAAAGAACCAAGACAATGTGTCAGACGGTAGATAAAAAACTTACGCGCAAGATGAGCGTGACTCAAGTTTTCGAACCCTTATCGATTCAATCAATAGAATATTTCTTAATTATTTTATCATTTTTAATTTTAGTGATAATTTATCTTCAAATTTCAATTGAATAGTTACAAGAATTTAAATTTCCTTACGAAGTCAATATGACGTGGTTCTTCTTCATTATTTTCTTGTCGTTTCTCTCTGTTACTATCGTCATCATACAACAGACTTCATATGTTTCAGCAAACAATCAAAACAAATTAAAACCTGGTGAATCGTTTTCATTCTTAGATAAACATTGGCAGATTATTGACAATAGTAAAGAGACGAGTACGTTATTTTACAAAAAACTATCTCATTTACAACATAAAAACCGAATATAGACCAATAGAGTAGATACTGGGAAAAAAAATTTTTGCTTTGGCAATTTTTATTTTGTTATTTGATAGAGATTAATGAGTAGTATTGATATGTTTTAGTCGATCAATTACATTGCCCGGGAAATTGGTCACGATTTGGCTATTCATGCTACTTGCTGTCTGATATTTGGTCGACTGCTAAACAAGCCAATGATACGTGTAATCTTTTCCATTTGAATAATTCTCGATTAATATACATTCAACAACCTGTTGAATTGTTTTATGCTGCACATATACTCATTAAAAATAATCTAAACAAGTTAGTTCTCGAAGTCAATCCAGATTTAATGAAAAGTAAGTAACAAGGGAATATTGATGCATCATTATTTCAATCTTAAACTAATTCGATTTTGATTAGATGCAAAGATTGTCAATATGTTATCATCGGATGATGATGATGTTCAATGGGAAGATTTTGGAAAAAAGATTCTTCAAGATAATGTCAAAATCGAAGATATGGATCATTTTCAGAAGCCTTGTCATCAAACAAAATGGAACGTTATTAACGAGGATTCAAATACTTTAATACTTACGGTTGAATTGGGATCGAAGGAATCTATTTGTTCATTAAGCAGTGCGGATTTAAGAGTAGCATATCCACATATATGTCAATATGGTAAGTATAAGTTAATGGTTTTCTCTTTTATTTTCTTATGATCAACTCTAGTACTCGATCGTTGTCTGAATAATATCAAATGTGGTAAACATGGACATTGTGTCAATAATCAAACAGATTTTAATTGTTCATGTTCATTTTTATATGATGGTTTATTTTGCGAAAAATGTAAGAGATATGGAAGATCGTTTATCGATGAATGGCTTGTTTCTTTTAGATTCAAAAAAAGACATACAGATTGTAATAGGTATTATTATTATTGCTATTACTATTTTCGTAACGTTTACACAACCTAGAAAATTCATATTTGATGTTATTAAATCATTTACAGAGTGAGCCTTTGAATCATTCTCGTTATGACAATCATCTAGGAAATTGCTTTAGTCTTTGTCGTCAGCAACCAATAGCACCGCCTGCTCGTGCTCCTTCTCCTCCTGAAACGATAGATGATGAAAACAATCGCACCGCGTCACCTGCAAATGAGACGATAGATTGGTGAGTTTAGACTTTTTATTAAAACATACATATGTAGAAATACATAATCAAGGTCGTCTATGGATGTTCCTCCCGAGAGAGACAAGACTAAGTTCAAATTAACAAAAGCAGAACAACGCGTCCGTAATATCTTTTTGGGTATCTTGACTATTGTTTTTCTTCTGTGTTTCTTCAAATTTCCGCCAATTCATCATGTTAACTTGATTCAACTAAACGACACAAATCTATCTAAGATTGATTCACTTACCGATAATAACGTCCATTTGGTTGGTCAATATAGACGATATACTATTTTTCGAATAGATAATTTCGTTTTCTTATTGGTCTCCGGTTTACTTGTCATTATTTTCTCTATTTTAAACAAACGTGAAAAACGAGATGAAAACGAAGACGACGATCGATCGGGTATTGTGTTTCTCTTTCAAAATTCGTTTCAATAGGAAAATTTTTATTCTAGGCATCGTAGAGCCTATTAAACTACTTCGCA